GTGTGTGTGGTGGTGGGTGGGGGGTGTGGGGGGGGGGGTTCACTCAACAATACTCATACTACATCCTCAGTCCTTGTTATGGAAAATCAATGAGCATGCTGGGTATGTGACTGGGAAACTGTGATCAAAGTTCTCCTTCTGATCTGTTAGTGTGGTTAGGGTGCAAGATGAGAGGCTGCACCGTCGTCCCGGCCACAGCTCTGGAGGCTAGTTAGCATTGTAGTGTTGCATGTTTGTTTTTCTTTGTGGATATGAAAACACTCTTAGATATTTTACAGGTTACACTTTATTAGTATTGAGGTCTGATGCCTCAGATGAAGCTGATCCATGCATCAGTCTTCACTAGTTTGATGTGCAGTTGTTGCTTTGCTGCAGTAATGGAGTGAGGACGTATCTGTGTTTTTGAATGAGTGATGAACCAGAAAGTGGTTGTCTACTATCTGTAGTTTACATTGTCACTGTGTGGCTACAAACAAGCATGTGCTTGTAGATTATGTTAGACTGCCGTATTTTAAAACGCACTTCTGTAAATGATAGAAAACTGTAGTCGTATAGTTTTTATTTAAACATACAAAGAAAACATTGCATTCAGTATACATTATTTATGTTTATGTTGTTGCATTAAATAATTAGGTTAAAGTTTCCATCTAGCATCTCATACTCTGTGTGACATCCAGTAAAACAAGATAGAAACTGTATATACAAGTTTAAAATAAAAATAAAAATCTGACACTTTTCTCTGCTTCATCACAAACAGTGTTTTCATTAGAGCGAACACAGGCATTGTGTACCAACCAAGCTGTAATAAAATAGTTTTGTTTCCGTTTTAAGCATTGTGCTGTTTCAAAAACACCACATGTTTTAAAAAAAAGTGTACATTTAGATTCAGACTTGATTACTTTAAGGGAATTACAATTAAAACATTAAATCGAAACAGCTTTCATTGATGCAAAAATGACACGATTTGGTCAGCTTTATGATTTTATTTTATTTTTTTCTAGCAGTGATGCCCCAATAAAAGCTGAGCAGAACGGAAGCACCGGCGTATTGTAGACAAGATCATACAGAGATGCAGACATTTGCAACATGTCTGACTCTCCTCTGCTCTGTCACCTCGACCAGGTTGGAGCCCTCTGCTGAGAGATGCTCTCTATTACATGTGTTTGTACAAGACAGTATTGCTCCAGCTGTTTTGACACAACAAGATATGAAATTAAGGTTACAAATATAATAGCCTTTCTGTAATTAAACCTAGAGATCTATAGTACCATCTGCTCTAATCTCTGACAGCAGTGCTGAGCAGTTCACCAGTCACAGTCTGTCTGTCTGTAACTGAGACACACATGGTATACATATGCTGTTTTAACTGTCTTGTCTGTGTGGTCTGAAATGTGTAAACAAGCCCATGCTGACCCACACTCGTCATCACCTCACTCGCACGGGGCTTGGGCTCCCTCGGGCTGGTCAGACACATGTTTGGGGGCCACGATGCAACGACCACACGGTGATGGGGACAGTGGAGATGCCAGACAGCATAAAGTCTAACCAACTTCACCTGAAGAAAAACATGTGGGTTCGCAGCACGGCAGTGATGTGGCCATAACTTTTCACGTAGTGCCTCTTAGTGACATGGCCTAAAGGGGCAACATGATGTTCTGCTCTTTTATTTTGTTTAATAGAGTTATGATGTTTTAAAGGAGCTGAAAGGGAGGCCTGGTGAGGAGTCGATCTGGCTGTGACTGTGTTTGCATTAGTGCTGTGCTTCTGAAGTGTTTGAGGAACAGTGTAGGATTGGATGGAGAATTACAGTTGTTTTTCTTAGGAAACTTCTCCCACAGACCATAGAGTCTTATATAAAGGTCCTACAGATTGATAGTGATCGTGTAAAAACAGTTTATTCAGAAAATAAATAGAGCAAAGAGGAATCCCTCTTCTTCCTCACAAACCTTAAAGCTGCCATGTTGCTCTTCGTCTCTCTGCCAAAACCATGCTCTGAGACAGTAGATTTAATAAATAGCCATTTTCCCTCCTTTTGATTACAAATTGGCTGCCAGCATCTGTCAGCTCACTAAGTAGCCGTATTTCACAGTGTTGGGGTTGTCCTGCCCGTCTTGGGCATAATAAAAGAAAGTCATTATCAGATGATCTGACAGTGGTTAGCAGGGGCCTCTGCAGGATATTTCTTTTTCTACAAAATGACTGGTTGGCTGGTCTTTGGTGTTTCAGCTGTGGATATTGAACTGGAGCAAGAGGTGTGGACTTGTGGTGTGGATCACTTTTCACAGTGTGTAAGGAAATTTGAGTCCAAGGCTCTCCTGCTGCAGACATCAGCGCTGTCACAGAACTTTCTCTCTCACAGGCAGAGGCAAGCAGTCTGCCATGTTACCAGCACACGTTGAATCAAACTAAACATACCCGAACTGCAGAGGAGGATATTACCGAGCCGTTTCTGCTTCTCTTTGCGAGGTGTTGGAAGCCACTCCCCTTTCTGGTGACGAAACCACCCCTCTCCACAGCACTCTGCTCCCTGTCCTCTCACTGACACCAACACAAATATTATCCCAGCCAGAGGAGGAAATTCTTTCTTAACTTGGATGATAAATATATTCTTGAAATCAACGTTAATGACTTCCTGTGGAATGAGATCCAAACACAATTACTGTTTCTGTTGTAAATGTTTCCTGTTACTCTATTTTTGCTGCGCCGTCCATAATTGAATTGTGATTTTGGACGGGGGAGGTTGTTGGTAGCCTGCAGGGCAGTGATTTACCACTGGGCCACTGTGCGCTCCCATCCCAAACAGCTTGTTTGTATTTTAAACACATAGCCTCATGGGATATGATGTTTTATTGTTTTTTTGTTTGACAGGACTGGCCTCTGTGTTACAAACAGTCTTGCTGAAAGCCTCGCCCTGCATTTGGAAAGGAAGCTGATATCAGCATGGGATTGTGTGTCTTGTGATTGGGCGATCCACTTCACACTTGTAATCCTCATTCAGTCCCAGTGTATTAGCTGCACTGTGTGTGAGGAGGCAAGTGGTGGTGGACTTGGGGTAGGAATGAAAGTAGGTCATTCAAGGTTTTGGCAAACAGCAGACTCACTCTTACCCCCCTGAACAGTGGAAGAGTCTTGCATGATGCAGTGTAGCAACTTTCTGCATGCTTGTGCTTCCTATTTGTATGCGTTACCTCTGCCAGGTTGGCTACCCAGTGTGAAGCCACAGTACACTGAGTTTTGGTGGGTGGCAGCATAAACAAGAGCCCGTTGCCCACGGTTTTTGTCTCAAACTGACGTTGTAGTCAAAGTGATGGCCAGATCCCAGCCGTGTCAAGTGCATTTTGCATTGGACTTAGTTCTGTCAGTCATCTCACTCTGTCGTGACGAGATTATATATACACAAATAATTGCTAAGATTTGGAAATAGTGGCATTACCGCAATAATGTCTGATGGAGCAGGAAGCCAAGCCATTAGAGATTGGTTAAGATTATTTAAATCACTTTATTTTGGGTTAAACCCTTATTGCACAGGAAAACAACAAAAAGCACATTTGATCAAAGTTGAACCAAGAAGTTCTTTGTAAACAAGTTTGAAGAGTAATTGTGCCATTTGTCTGCTCTTCATAAGACTGATTCTCCTGGAGGTTTGTTTTAAAGTGCAGTTTTTAGGAAATACATTTATTCACATTTGTGTGTGACATCCCTCTCATGTGTGTATGGGAAATATGAAGCTACACCCAGCAGTCAATTAGCCTAGCTTAGCAAAGAGACTGGAAACACGAAAACAGCTGATTTAAATAAAACAATGAATGTTTTTATTTGAAGAGCAAATAAAAAGAAAGTGAATAAGCAAAATGTAGAACTATTCCATGATCACCTGACTGCCTGCTTATCATCCAGTCTAAAAATCTTATTAATGATGTTGTGTGTTCCTAGATTTTTGTGATTAACTGGATGAAAATAATGTATTATTGCAGGGATGGCCAGAAATGTTATAATGAGACCAGAATTATAATAAATTGAAATTATCCTTGATCCATTTTCCATTAAATGGCTCAGCTGTCAGTGTCCAATTCTTACCTTCACTTCACAGCAAAAGA